ACCTGAGATGCATCAATAAATTCTAAATGTGATAAAGAAGGCAGTGGATTGGGACAACTAAAACCATGTCAACCTTGACCTCTTGACCTTTAACTCTGTAAGTTCAGCATGAGACCTGTATCTGAGGTGTTATGTTGTATATTTTCTTAAAGCAATAAATCTACACTTCACACGCTTGTCAATCCTTAATAGGTACAAGCAAAATATATTTAAGAAAACATAATTTTACCTATCTTAAAACTCATTAATACAGAAATGCATTAATGTTGTTAAATTAATTAAAGAATATGATTAATATTAATAATATCAGGATGAAAATGAAATTATAACAATTCATATTGCTGTATGTGATCTGAATAGACAGTCTGAGAGTGTGAAGTTTTAACATTCATATTACTGTATGTAATCAGAATAGACTGTCTGGGAGTGTGAGTTTGGGATAATTAATTTTGCACAAATTCCATCTCCTTTCTACGAAAGGGTCATACTAATTTTGAGTTCACTAGTTTGTGATTCTTTTTCTGTGTTCAAGGTAATTTTTATGTTACTTCAAAATGGGCAAGTTAATTTAAAAAATACTTTTTATAATTTTTTTTTTGGGTATTTTTCATGGGACAATACATTTTTAAACTGCAAAGCTACACAGTCATGTTCACTATCCTCTAAAACAGTCGATCAACCTCACAAATACTTCAACACTCTCACCTAGCTATTCACCACCCTCTCAAACAATCCATCATCCTCACAAATTCATTCTCACTAGCTATTCACCAGTTATATTAAAGCTACTTACCATTCTCTCAAACAATATATCACCCCCACAATTCCATCACCATTTCAACAGGTTTACACACATTTAAAAAAATACTACATCTGCCTCTTAATTTCAAATAACAAAAAGTCAATACTTTAATTTAAATAATAAATATATTTTCATTGCTTCAGCGGTGCCGCCAGAAATTTGCCAACAAGGGGTCTGACATGTCCGATGGGGGGGGGGGGTCCAAACCAAGGGGCCAACGAAGACTCGGTCGACTACTGGGAATAAAAAAAACCCTGGTTGGGTTTATATGGGGGGACTTTTGTGGCTTAGTATACTCCAAAATGTGCTTTTAGACCTCAATATTAGGGATTGGCAAGGTCAAGGCGTATTTGACAGGGGGAGGGGTGAAATTCCCCTCCCTGGTGCCACCACTATTTCAAGTATAACCATGCAGCACTTAGGAAGTTCAAGTCTACTGTTCTGTTCCAGGGAGGGATTTGTGGGTAAAGACGGGGAGGGGAACACCCACCCCAGCATTTAGTGAAGTTCCCCGTTGTGACCGTCCAATCATTTTTGTCGAATTTATTCATAGGCCAATATATAAACCATTAAAACCAGCAAGACAAAAGCACTTTATCAGTATGCACATTAACCAAACATTACCAGAACTGAAACTGAAATTAATGGGATGAAGTAGGAAATAATATATAGCTGCTGAGCCATTTTGATACATAATTCACATAAAAAAAAATAAATAAAAATCTTTGTGGAGCCACATAGTTTACATGCTACGCATCAGTAATAGGTTACGTAGATAGCAGACAATTCTCCAACAGAGATATCTCACACATGAAATACCCATATTTACTATTGTTTGAGGCGTTATCTTTGTTACAAACCAAATGTTTTGAGATTTAATTTTCTGGAAGAACTATCACACAGTCAACTTTCTTATCTAACGTTCAATGAGATTTTTGATTTGATTTATAGACTTTTTAGTTTGAAACTTTAATTTTGTTTGCCAGCTAATTTAATGATCTAAAAAAAAGGAGAAAAATATTTTTTTGATAATTGGCGATGAAAATATGATTTTGTTCTAATTTTCAATAGAAAATGATAAAATACAAATTATAATAAATAAATTGCATTATTAGTATAAAAATTAGCACAAAGTTTTTGCATTTTTACACATTTAATTCAAAAACTTTAATTGCTTTCCTAATTTAAGGGTCTAAAAATTAGGGGTGGTGAAAATATTATTTTTAAGTTAGTGATAAAAATATGATCTGGCACTAATTTTCAAATTATAATACATAAATTGCATTATTAGTTGTTAAAATTTATTAGGTTAATACAGATATATTGAACCAGAAAAAAATCCCCCATACATTAGACACCCACCCATCAACGCATACACATACACGAATATTACAGCGTACTAATTAGATTAAAATCTATACATATGACACAAGCCACTGATAAGCATAGACCCATTGATTATGTTGTTGAATATCGCTGAATGATTTGTGGACAATATAACTGCCTTTTGTAATACTGTGGGAATATTAGGTTTGCAAAACAAAGAAAACTAAAGCCAAGGCCAGGTTTGCATATTAATATCATAAACATATGCCTACCATCAAGTGGGATAGGTAAATACAATGACCCTGATCGAAATTAAATTAAAAATGCTAAAAAAAGGGCGACCTGCATTTTGCAGGACGCGTTCTTGCAAACAGCGGGTGACACCCTGGTGAGTGGTAATGTTTTCAGCACAAGCCAATCATATTGAAATGTCTTAATTGTACTTATAGTGCTATGTTAACGTAATTGTTTTAACACCTCTGGTATAACTCATGGCCAGCTCCTCCCACTTTCCCTAACCACTAGAGGGCAGCAGACAGCTTTAAAGATTCATGAAAAGTTTGTAACATTCATTATTCCACTGAATTTCATTGTTAAATTTGGTTTAAAAATTTGTATGATTGCAAGCCATAGCTGTATCTCAATGCCTAATAACAAAAAGTTGTCTGAGAACTTTTGAGAAAGGTGTTGCTCTTCATTTATCAGATTAAAATTTATAATTGTTCTTGGAGCACTGTTCTTTTTCATTGTTGCATAAACTTTTCCAACAGTGGCAGATCCAGGGGGGTTCAGGTGGTACAGATCAACCTCCCTCTGTGAAGAAATGTAACAAAATACTACTGGGTCCTGGCTTACTAAATGCATGCTTACCACCTAGGCATAGGTTGGCAGATCGGATAAACTAGGCTTAGCCCAACTAGCCTTCAATTAAATAACAAAAAAACACTGTTTTTGGTTTGACGTCGGAATTGGTTTTTGGTTTTTGGACGCCATAGTCTAGACCCTCTTTCAATCTGCTTTTTTTTTTTTTTTTAATTTGAACCCCCCTCTTTCGAATCCTGGATCCGTCCCTGCTTTGTATATTAAAAATATACTACCACCAAAAAATTGGAAAAAATAACTCGCATGTAAAACAATAAACAATTTTCAATCATTCATAGATCAATAAAAATACTATTTAGTTAAAAACTTTTACTAAACATATCCTTAAAAATATTTGGTGAAGAAATATAGTATTGAAATATAATTTATAGAAATAGTAATAATTAAAGATTTATTGGTGAGGAACATTTTGGTCTTGCTGATAGGATGTTTTTACTGAAGTTTGAGATAGAAACCATTTTCTTATCCTAATTGCCAATTGGAACACAAAGATAAGGACCTCACAACAACTGCATTTCAAAAGAGTGTAAAAAAAATAAAAATAAAAAAACAAGGCATAAAACATTTAGTCTGCATAAAAAATAATGTTTACAAGAATTTTTAGCAAAGTCACAACATTTAAAGTCAACAAACAAAAGCTTCTAAACTACAACAAATTAATGACACACACCATAAAGCATTGCTGAAACCGTTGCTGTAAGCAACTAATTGGTTAAACAAAACAAGTAATTTTCCAAATATACTTATGGAACCAGATGAAATTCTTTATAAATACTGAAGTTTTTTGAAGAAATTAATAAATGATCACACCACATCGGTACCGTTTCGAGCAGCATGCTTGTCAAATGTTCTGGTGGAGAAGTCAAATGTTTGGGTGGAAAAGGACTATGAGCTGTAGGCTAGTGTACACAATAAGCTTGCATGTACTTTAAAGTACATACTACTTGATCATCGGTTTTATAAAGTAGTGGCACAGACACAAAGTGACCCTAAGGTGTGAAGAATGTTATTGAATGAGTTAACTACTAGTCCAAGCATCAAGGGCAATAAATACCAATTGTGATGAATACCAGTGCTATACAAACAGCAACTATTAATAATGACATTCAACTTATTTTGAATAATACAGTAGAACCTCGTTTTTACGTAGCCAAGCTATACCCTCGGTTTTAAGTACGCCTCGTATCGACGATGACGTCATCAAAAACTCAGAAAATATTCAAAACAAACAGCCTTTTTCAGAGCAACAATAAGTAAAAAGACTATAACAATAAACTATAGCAATAAACAAACCATAATGCAACGTATTTTCATTAAGCAGCAGCAACGTTGATTGAGTCTAATACCGGGTTGTTATAATCTAAAAACCATGTGAACTGAGTGAGATGAACCAATGGTGATCAAAATAATTGCTTTCCTCCTTAGCTTCGTGTGGAAAACTCGCCTGGTCCAATTTTCTACACGAAGCTGAGTAGGCATAGTTTCGTACACGAACGCTAATTGGTTGGCTCGCCCAGTGCAGTGCACATGGTTTTAGCTTGTGTCAGCAGGCCCAGACAATGCCACAGCTCTGTTTTTTAGAAGAGCAATGAAGGGAACTTCCCAAGTTATGCCTTTGTCGTATAGGTAATCTTACAATATTTTCATGTTCTTTAGTTAAATAAAAGATACAAAGTGATGAATTAATACACTAGACACATGGTTTTATTTGAACACTTTATTATGACATCGTAAAGTGATGAATAAAAACACTAAACACATGGTTTTATTCGTAGGCCTAGGCCTAGAGAGGCTAGGTCTAGTCTAGGTAACATCGTTCGTTCATAACATACGTTTATTGAGCGTTACGTGCGTATAAGGTACAAATTTAAACCCAACCTCAATTTTATGAATCCACTGATTTACGTACGTCCTCCGGTCCCGTACCGTACCGTACGTAAAATCGAGGTTCTACTGTAATAAAATCACAAGCAATAATTGATAAACTCACTTTCCAAATGAGGTGAGAACACCTGGTGGTGTGGCTCCCATGTAGCAGCCTCCGGAATATTCCTCCTCCATCCAATTATGCTCAACGTAATTCACAGGCTGAAAGATAACAATTATAATAACATCAAAAGTAAATTTCATGCTACCAACAAAATATGGGTAGTTTTGTGAACTGTACTAAAGACATTTAGAATACCACAAATTTAAAAGAACACAGACAAAATATTGCGGATATTCCACACAGGGTGGATATTCACTAGGTCCTCTAGACCGACGTTCCGCAAACTATGGGCAAATATTTTTGGAAGGCCGCGAAGCTGTTTGAGAAGTTAAAAAAAAAATAATAAAGATACGTTTCAACATAAAGAAAATAGTTTTAATAGAGCCACTTCATTGTTACAGCGAATTCGCAGTTTGTACATGCTACTAAAGTGTCAGATGATGTTTGCTGTTTGAGTTATAACACGCTACTAAAGTGGCAGATGATGGTGCTGTTTGAGTTATAAGCGGTTTTTAATCTTACTGAAATTAGTTTGTAAACAAACCAAACCATATTGATGCACGTGGTAAAGTTCTTGGGAGGCGATACACGCTGCTGGATTGTTAATGCACTGTCAGCTTTGCATAGGTCGACAAGAAGAGGCCTAGTCTCAACATGTTTTTACTCCGTTACATGGGTCACAAGTCTCCCGAAAATTGGTATGGTCTCTCGCACTCACGCAACAAGCAAAAATCTCCCAGAAATTAACTTATCTCCCGCAAATTCAGTATGAAACAAATCTTTTTGTTTGATTTAGGCCTAAACTTTGGTTGACGATTATTTTTTGCAGTCTCACAGTGTCATTTCCGGCTTCTAAAGGTGCCTATTCAAAAAAAATGTCGTCACCTCAGCTCCAATCATGGTGGGCCTGAGGTGGGCATGGCCCTTTGTTTGGTACATACACTTTTTCCTCACAGAATATATAGTGCCCCTAATGTCATTAAACGAATCTCCCGGAAATGGGTTCTTCCAACTTGGGACCCCTGACGTTAAACATGTATGATATGAGCGAAGTAAAAGATGTCAACAACAATAATACTGCAAGTGTACAAAAACGAAAAACTTTACTTGCTTTGTTATTTCGTCATTACAACACACAGACACATGAACTGATGGCCTTGCTTGTTAGAACATCGTACAGAATAATTTATTAAGATAAACAAAACAACGGTTTTTTTTTTTCTACGCCACAACAGTGGCGTAGAAAAATATTTTTTTATTGGGGAGGGGGGATGGTTGGCGTGTTAGCCAGTGTCGTAACAGGCGCGGGGGTGGGGGCAAACTGTCCCTCCCCTGACGGTTTTTACCGGGCTGGAAAAAAGAGAAGAGAAAAATAAAGACAAGAATAAAAAGGAAGATATCATAATGACCAGACTCACAACATCCTGCAACCCCTTCTCCACTTCAAAAACTGTCATAACTCCTTTGATCTATTCTGCCCGATGGCGTAACCACTGGGGGACAAGAGGAAATATCTATCTTTGAAAAATCTTCCCCACCCCTTTATAAATGCCCTTTCATCCCCTGAAATTGCCTAAAAACCTCAAATTTTGCGCACATTTCTTGTTAACATGGCCCAATTTTCTCTAAAAATTGCACATTTTAGGGTGTTTTGATCAATTCCAACGAAATTAGAATTAAAAAAAACAAACATTTTTCGCGCGCTTCGCGCGCATTTTCTA